AGAGTCGGAGTCAGAGTCGGAGTCGACAGACCTGACCGGAGTTGGAGTCAAAACCGGAGTTGGAGATGGAGTCTTGAAAATCCATTGGCTTCGCAGTCCAAGGGCTGGGGAGTCGGGAGTCAAGTGTTGGAGTCGGTCGGAGTCAACACTTCAGCCCGGAGTCGGAGACGGAGTTGATTTTTGAAAGCCGGAGTCAGAGTCGGAGTCACTGGAAATGCATTGACTCAGCAGTCCTGGTTTTTAGCGCTAAAGGAGGCTTTTGAGTAACTGGATGAATTGAAGTTCGCATCAAAGCTCCGAGTTTGTGGCTGAGTTTTGCCGTATTTGCATAACAGAAGGGAGTGTCTTCCAATTGGCAAAAAAATAAACACGGCGTTATACCACCAAAAGAGTGCTGAATATCATAGCTATGACTGTCGCGATGACAGTGCCAGTGATGATGACGGCGGCGGTGACGGTGACGAAGGCGATGACTAATGTGCTGACGGTGACAACAGTAGCATCTGCCGCCGCTCTGGCAGTGCCAGTGGACTGCTGGCCGGTGAAAGTTGACCTTGGCACGGCACGTGACCTCTGCCTTGGTCACCGGTCTGGTCGCGCGTCGTCCACACATTCCGGGCCGTGGACGCGCCGCCGGTGGCTGCGTGCCTGACCTCCGGATCAGGGCGCACACGCACCGGATCTGCCGGTGGTCGGCACGAGATCCGGCGCCCCCGGAGACAGCGGCACTGATATCGCCTGGGGTCAGGCGTGATCTGTTTAGGGGAGACGTATGAGTATTGAGTATTTGTATCATTTTAAAAGAATGAATGGCGCATCCTCATGTCGGAGGTAGTCGACTCTAAATATTCGTCTGATCTGCGTCAGGAGGCAGACTTTATTGTATCAGTTGTGTCCATATCACTACCACCCGAATGTTCTCACTTTCTCGCTGACACTCGACAGGGGACGCGCGCGGTCAGACACTCAAAACCAGTCTCTGGACCAGGCAGTGCACAAAGCAATAGCGGAATTATAAAAAAAGTTACGCATCTTTGCGCTGTCCCATCCGCATTTAGACAAAATCGCTTATTTTTTAATTTGATCGATAAGGATATCAGCTGGGAAAAGCCAAATATTACCCGATTTGACAGACCTCAATGCATGTCGTCTGTCCAGTCCATGAAATATAGGGAAGACACCAATGCATGAGCCAACCTACCAAAAAGGAAACTGGAACCAGTGCAAAGCCAATCCATCATTTCAGCATTCCGTTTGAGTTCCTCACCTCGACATTCCTTTTAACGTCAAATGTGAATGGGACGGTTACATGACCACATACCGTATTTCCGCACAGTCGCTTCGTTGTGCAACAAGCAATAGTCCATTGCCGTGTAACGGAAGGTTTGTACTTACCAGACGGCTGGGGAGACTTAGGTTACTAAACCCAAGTAATCCGACGGCGAGTGTCTGTTTATTTCGGCGCGAATCTTACGACGTCACGGATATCAGTGGTCCAGTGGTCGTGGGTTCTAGGCTGAGACGAGAAGCATGCCATACCCATTAGCAAGGGTGTTTCTGCCTACGAAACTGGTGTAGGCAGCTTCATATGATGACGTATCGGCAATGTCTGAAAAAGGATATCCCTGGCCGTGGGTCTTCCTGCTTGCATGTCAAAATAAATGCCTCCAAATTCCAAACTTCTTGCAGTATTCGAGTGCATTGCAAAATTATGTGGTCAGTGCCAATCTCTGTTAACGCTAACTAGCAGATTCCGCCAAAAGCAGCTTTTTCGCCTAAGCTGACTGAGTGGGATATTCCTCGCGGGTTTTCTAGGAACAGGGAAAGTTTGGGAAAGTTTAGACCCCGCGTGAATTCAAGACAGCGTCACGCATACTACTGACACTGACAAAAAATCACTCTGTCCGTACGAAACCCTCCTCGATGCTATGACCGAGGCTGGAATCCAGCAAACTCATCCTCCGCTTAGTGGTAATGAAATCTTCCCTAAACCACCCATGGAAACCATGCGACCATGCGACAGAAGCTGTCCGTGTTGCACAGTGCTGAACTAAATCAGTTGATGCTGCTATCTCTCGACAGCCCTTCACGCGAGCTCAAGCGGGGGAGACTGAGCTCTAGCACTATAAAAGTAAGGCGGACCTCACGAGGGCCTGGCGGTGCTTGTTTTACAAAGAAGTGGTGCTAATTCATGACCCATGGCTACTGCCGCTGAGATGTCACATATACCGCTACCGGGGAGGTGTTCGGATTACCGGCGGGCGGTGTAGAACAGAGTGGGCACAGCAATCGATGTCCCTGCCTGATTACCGGATGTTCGTGAAGTCCTGTTTAGAACAATGCAGTAAAACTCAGCGGTATATTGTCCACGATCTCAACGTCAGCTACAAGCGTTTGTGATTAACTTTTAACATATTGATAAATGATAATACCCAACTGCAGTGCTCCGTTGGGCCATTCAGTCGAACGCTGGGGGAGGGGGAGGGACAAAGTCTGTCCTCCTCCCCAGCGGGTCACGTTTCGTATGCTGGAAGATCTCCGCACATGCCTACTACCGTTACCGATGCGCACGTATGGCAATTATCTTCCAGCCCTTAGGCCGCCAATTCCATAAATTTCGCCTAAATTTTTAGCAAAACGCTATCAAACGAACAAAACAAGCTCACCTCAACACGTGAGCTCACGTGTAATAGAATGTGCATGCTATTCCCATTAAACAGAAATTCTTACATTCTGTCATTGATTGTCGTTTCATTGTGATACCTATTTACATTTGCTTAGATCCAACTGTGGAACATTTCGCATTCTATTGTTGTTTCGCGAGGTGATATAACTGCAGGACAGCTATCAAAGCAACCATCACAAGCCACACCGTATTGCACGCTGGCAATATGCAGGTGCATGATCCTATGTTTTCGGGTCATAAGCGCACGTTACTTCAGGACATTTGGCCGCACCTGTCCGACCGCATGGCAAGCGGGGCAGTTGAGCGATGTCTATTACGCGTACGTACATCGTGTGGCACACTTCCTTGAAATATGCATAACGTGGCCCCCTAAAGCTTGCTGTTTAAACTAAACTGTGAGCTGGTTTTCGCGATAGCGTGTACCCATAATTACTTGGAGCGTGGCGACAAAAGCGTTGGAATTTCGCAGCCCACGTGCAAGGCCTGATAATGGCACCAAATTATGTAAGTCTGCAGAGCGCATGACATTTGTGGATCGCCGTATGGTTTATAAGTACCTACTATGAAAACTACCAGAATAGCCACTTGTACCACGTTACCGCCATGACATGGTGAATGACCAACTGGGTAGGTGACCGGCTCCACACTGTCCCTTACTGCTGCTGTGTCCGTAGGCCGTATTGGTTCGATAGTTCGATGTTATCCACGATTCCCACTGGGCTAATAACAACTGAGTCAGGACCATTGCACCTGCACAACGTTCCTTACTATCAGAAGATATCTTTACACATCTTCCTTACGTTTTCCTAAGTTTTTTATGTTGTTGTTGATAATTAAGAGTCGGAAGTCTTCGAAAAGATCACTCTATTACCATTAACAAATGAGCTAGCAGATTTGTGACTACAAGATTGCGAGTGCCCATTCAGATGCCCGATTTGCACGAGCACTGGCTCGCAAATTCGCAATAGATGCACGCACCTCCCATGAGGTCGAGGAAGTGCGAGCGAGAGCTGATACAGGTAATTCAGCATGTTTCTACAGATCAGTTTCTGGTGCAGAAAGCTTTGTTGATCCTCATTTAGTTACCCCTTTTTCGAAAATTGTATTTCGCCACTGCTAAGCAGTGCACTTATGAACATCTGTGAAAAAATGCACATAGCCACATAACCACCTAAGCGCGAATATGGTGTTTCGCTCAGCGAATCTTCCCTGATAAGAGGCGTGCGCACGTCCACAGCCTAATGCAATCGCTGTTTTTGCGCGCGCCGCTCCTGCCAGCGCTGCCAGGACGATCGCAGGTGACCGCAGTTCGCGGCCCGTAGCCGGATCGATTTCGTTTTTACTCGGCCGTTTCGTAACGCGCTGTCTGGGCAATGATGTATTCCATTATTTCATGGCATATGCAAACAGTATTCAATAACGTCAGCTGCATGATGTTCTGGACAAAAATAGACACTATATTATTTATTTCATGCTTGAAAACAAAATTAATTTCCAAATTATGAAGAACGACAGCGTTTTACTATGAAAAAAGAACATTAAAAAGGCAATTGTAAGCCCTTAATCCTGACCCCTTTATCGCGGCACGACCAAATAAATGAAAAGGCGCTAGTACTAAAAAACAAGGGCTCGCTGTCCTAATATAACTATTCTATTTGTCCGTTTCTATATGCTTCATGCGCATTATGCGAGCAATATGAACCGTTTCGATCGGGTATCCTGGCAGTCAGTGGCAGTCACAGCAAATCACACGTCAGCGCAGACAATGAAGCTGGCCATTCAATAGTCGTTTGTCTTGTCGACGGGCCACCTGAAATACGGCAGCATCGGGGGAGATGACCGATCAACAATACAAGCTGGAAACGGTCTCCAAAGAGATGAGAATGCGGAAGATGATGTCTGTAACTGGATGGCTTGCATCCAGCTCAATTCTCGCACTTTTCTCATTGTTTCCATAAGCGACAACTTAACTTTCAGAACTATCGCTCCCTGCAATCCACATACTCGTAATACCCTCCACTTTTCTGAATGTGATGTTTTGCATTGCCATTTAAAATATCTCACTCAATTACAAAATATTCTATAAAAAATATATCATCTTTATATTGTTGTCCAGTATATAAATAATAGTTTTCGAAAGCCTTCCGTCATGATAGGTCCAAAGATACCTCTGTCCTGCCTCTATAGGCGGGAAGCTCCAGGAAGCTTTGGTACCATTTGCGATTTCATCGTTGCTAAAATATCAAACCATCTAGTTTTTAGCCTTATTGATTATTCTACTTTTTAGATACAGCTAATTTATCTGAGGAGTCAAATCCGTGGGGTATGCATCAGTCGCGGGCTGTATGACTGCTGCGGGCGGCGGCACTGCAAGTTTGACCGGCGGTTTCTTCAGGAGACTGGGTGACCAGACGGTGGCCGGCCGATCAAGGTCGGCTGGTGTGGCCCCGGGGCAGAGAGGCCACTATATAACCCGTCTGCAGCCGGTCAGCCGGCATCAGATGAGCCCACAGCCTCCATCTCCCCACAGCACCATGAAGATGGTGAGTACCTACCTCCCGATGGGGACTCGCAAGGGTGTGGCATGTCACCACTGGTGTTTGAGTGCAGTTGGTGTCCGAGTAGTGCAACTGCATGGATGCCAGGACTAATAACGACTTATCACTAAACTCTGCGATACAACTTCGAGAAAATATTATTCACAATCACTAGTGCATTGCATTGTCTCTGGTCCAACCCATAATCTAGTTCTGTTTCTCACTTTGTACCGCCAAGTGAGAAATTATTGACAATCAAAAGTTTCGATGTCAAATATTAAATTTTCTGATGTTTATGACTGATTTATTCCTAACCAGGTTATGTGATCATTTTCAGTTCGTTGCTTTCCTGCTGGTGGCGGCTGCCTCGGCGGCTCCTCAGTTCGACCCTCAGTTCACCAGCCCCGTCCAGCCCTTCCAGCCGGAAGTCCGCATTGTCAGCCAGAAGTTTGAGCAGGATCAGGTTGGAAACTACGAGTACGGATACCAGCAGGACAACGGACAGCAGGTACGTTTTAGTGACTTTCAATGGTCGAACTTGAAGAAAGCAGCTTAATTTGCAATAATAAACAATGAATTGCAAATCACGTCTTCTAATTATATCTTGCATACCAATTATTTCTCAAATTAGTGCGCTTCTTTGTGTGGGGTAATCTCGACTTTGGTTTTGTTCCGCATAACATTTCCCATGTGTGACAGCACGACTTGAACACTCTTATTTGTAGTTTGCTTCTACTTCAAGTGGATAATTCTTAGTCTGAAGCTGCTACACAATATTAGCGACGAATGTCTACAATTTTGTTGTTTCAGCTTCCAGTTTGAATTTATTCATCATATTTGTTGCATTGCAGGTACAGGAAATCGGCCGCGTCGCCCCGGGCTCCCAGCCAGAGACCGGAAGCCTGGAGCAGCAGGGCAGCTACGAGTTCATCGGTGACGACGGCAACACCTACCGCGTCGACTACACCGCCAACGAGGGTGGCTTCCAGCCGCAGGCCGCCCACCTGCCAGTGGCGCCGGCTCAGATTCCCGAGTACGCCCAGCTGAGGCAGGAGCACCCGGAGCTGTTCTGGGCCGAGAACGGAGGAGCCGTCATCCAGCAGCAACAGCAGTTTGGTCAGACTCAGCAGTTCTTCTAAACTGAGATGATCTGACCTGTGACAAATATTCGTGCAATTATCATGTGTGTGCCGGCTTCATGTTTTATGAAGCCAAATATATCCCCCAATGCATACATTTTTGTTTCGTTACTGATGTCAGTTACATATAATTGAGAAGCTACCAAACCAAAAACCAGGCAACACGATTGGTAAAAGCCAAAAGCCGAACCAGCTTGGAATCATACGGACAAAGTGTCAGTTTTTCACCAATCTAAAAGACTTTCATGTATAACATGAAAGTCTTTCATGTTGAATCTTCATCTTCATACTTGAATCTTCATACATGAATCTTCATGTAGGTTCATCATGCTAGCCAAATCCCGAAATATTAGGAAAGAAATATCAAACACCATGTTAACCCACGCCAGTCCGGAGGTGTCCGGAGACCTCTGCGGGTTTTAGCAGATATCTAAAAAACGACAGCGCTCCACACCGCTGTTTTTGGTACATCTGCTCATCCATCTTTTCCGCACAAGTTGTAAAAGATTTCAGACCCAGGTCGCTCAAGGTCAGGTCACCAGGTCACGTCAAGTAACCTCACCTCAGAAAAAAAACTAGAGTGCTCGACATAGCTATACCGACTGAACGAGCGCTTTGAAATTTTATGCGATTGCTAGGAGTAACAGTAGGTATGAAGAAAATATATATCTCGGAAATCTGACATCTGTGACCAAAGATCAAGACAATTTACTATCTCTTCACGATGTATAAGTCAATGGGAGAAAATTGAAATGCGCCTCTTTTGAACGAACGCCGTTCTTAACACTCTCAAATAACGTTTTACTAGTGAACATGACACACTGAATCGGAAAATTGGACCGGTGACCCCTCTGTGTGCCCCTGAGGTCATCTCAAGTCATGAGAGGCCCCCTGCAGTTTTTTCACAGTAGCTTTTGATAGAGACATGCTAGAGCGATTACAACTCAGGTGTGTTCAGCTCGACGATACGGATCGTGTGATATGCAACATGACCCTTTCTGCTCAAGCCATGACCTTTACCTGAGGTCAAATTTTCAAATTGACCTTTTAAGGTCAAACTATAGTTCATTCGACGCATTTCGACAAGAGGAACACGATTCTGGTAAAAGCTGTGTCGGGACTATTGAGTCAAAAGTTATTGCATAAAAGCATTATTTCGTAAAACATATTTTTAGAGTTTTGCTGTCTGGAGGCTAAAATCGTCAACCTGATGTCAAAATTGAGGGCTAAAATTCTAGAAAGTGCGGTCAAAGAGTTATCGAATGCGCTTTTCCGCTGCGATGTGTAGCCTTATTGGCTACCGAGTTATGGGCCAATTTGTAAAAGAAATTGTTGAAGGCAAAATGTAACCATTGATATCCTTTTGTGATCTGATTTTTTACCTGAGCTAAAACGACCGTAATGCTCTCTGCATCATTTTTGACACTCTTTCGAATGTCGCTTACCGCGTGTCGCGAAGTGGCCCAGGATTCGACTACTTAGAGAGTGGAGCTGTTTTCAAACATAACGGCACCAATCTGAGCGGTTGGCGTCAAGCTCCGGCCAGGAGCGGGTGAAGACAATATTACAAACATATTGCTTTCAACGGCAAGTAGTAAGTACCGACGTGTTCATGTTCGGTCGCCTCCTCGGTAGGAACAGAGCCGATCTGTGTTCACAATGTTCCACTAACGATGACGTCACGTGGCGCCTGGGCGGTGTGACGAACCTGGCCTATGAGCTACCTTGAATACGGTCCGGAATACCTACCGGGTATGCACCCCCGCGACCTCCTCGGTGGCAGAGCACCTGCCCGCCAGCTCCCTTAGCGTGTGTTCCAGCAGCTCTCCTTAGCTGAAAGACGCCTAAGGGGTTGAAGGAAGGAGTTACAAAATGAATAGTAAGAATGTCTTCGCGTAGTGTGCCGATCGCGTGCAGTATGGGAGAGGCGATGCCATTTGGAAGATCGGTATATTTCCGTTGTCCCTTATCGTGAGAGGGTTACCCACGCACAGTATGACGACAGCGCCGCCTCTAGCGCTGCTGAACGCCCCCTGCCGGCTCGTATGAAGAGCGATCACGCCTCTGTACTGTCACGACATTTGACCTGGCCTGTGACGTCATCGGTTTGACCGAGGTCAATGAAATTGGGCAACTAGGTAGGTCTCCGTTGGGGCAATCTAACTTCGTTTGCTGCTTGTCGCTATGCTGCGTGGTTCTCGAGAACTTAGGGGGAGGCAACCCAACGGGGCGCGTTGCTCGGCAGACACCAACGGGGCGCGGGTTAACATTACGACATAATGAACAGTGAACTCTAACTGACCTCAGGTCAGTGACATAAAAACGAACCATCACTTATACAACTTGGTGAACTTAGTACATCCTGAAAGTTTGAAGGAAATCAGTTCAAAACTGTGAGTAGGGCAGGTGCATGAGGAATATTGGAGTTTGAACATGACCTTGTACCGGTTTTTCTGACCTGGTGACCTGACCCAAGGTCACTTTGACCTGCATTTATTAGGTCATATGTTAAAAGGCTGCCCCACAGGTTGTGCCAAATTTGGCGGTGCATCTTTGAAAAAAAAAACTTGGGGGGAGGGTTCGCATCGACCCTGTAAAGGCAAGGGTTAACCCGCGCCCCACTGGGGGGCTATTTATAGCCCCGCCTCCCGTTTTTCTGCAATAACTTCCAAACCGCTTGACGTATCGACGCCAAACTTTCAGTACCTTCGGCTGCATCAATCTGACACCTTGTGCCAAAATTTGAACTTCGTAGCTACCATAGGTCGGCCGAAAATGACGTCAGAGTGACGTCATGTTCGGCCGATTTCGACGCAAAACATTGAACCACGGCAATCGCTCCCAAGAGCTCAGTTTTTAAGCTAGGTCCAATTTCTTTCCATGAGAGGACTCAGAATAGACTGCGCTATCAAACTGCAATCTCGGATTTTCGAAATGTTGAAAATTTTGAAAATTTTATATAATATAATTCAAAATTTATATTTTTACATTTTTTTCAAAACATTATTGACTTTTCGAAAAAAAACGGAATACATTTGATAGAACGCATTATTTTGACTAACTCTAGCAAGTTTTAGATAAATATCTTCAAAATGGCCAAGTTATACGCATTATTGCAAAAAATTCACAATTATTAATTTTTAACATCAATTTTTCAGCACGAATTTGACATCGTACGCCAAAATAAATAGCACCATCGTGTTCCTGAGCTCAAACTGCATCCAATAGACACCTTTTTTGTTGAAAAATTTTAACTTCAAAATTTGACCTTTTTTGACCTGAAAGTGACCTGACCTAAGCTAAATTTGACTCAAAATGACCTCGAATGACACAGACGACATCAAATTCGAAATGTTTGGCCTAAATCGACCATAAAACATGTGTCACGTGACCGACGGATGATATAATATTTTCGTGACCTGTGATGACCTGACCTTGACCTGAAAATCAAAGTACAGGTTTGCTACCCTCAGAGTATCTAGAGCATCTATTCACGAGTGTGTGACCCAAAAATGAGCCTGATCTGACCTGTAAGACGGCGGCCAGAGCCCAAAACGTGAAGAAGCCAAAATGCTAATAATTTTTACTTTGACCTGACCTGTGACGTCATCGGTGACCTCGAGGTCAATGAAATTAGGTTTCGTTCGACAGTTTTTCCGGGGCTATCAGACGCCGTTTGAATTTTGACGATCGGCCCAGCAGTTTCGGAGTTAGGAGGGGGGCTATGAATAGCCCTCCCCCCCCAGTAGGGCGTGTTTATACGCAGACCCCAGTGGGGCGCCCGCGCCCCGCTGGGGTCTGCCGACCAACGTGCCCTGCTGGGGGGGGGGGGAACTTGCCCCCCCCCCCCTAAGATCTGGGCCGGGGCGTCGCGCAGTCGCGTGACCTCCACCAGCAGGGGCTCCGAGATATTCTCATGATTGGGTGAAGATCTCGAGAACCACGCAACATAGCGACAAGCGGTAAAAGGTGTTGGATAGCCCCATCAGGGAACTACCTTGTGACCCAACTTCGTTGACCTAGGTCAAACCGATGACGTCACAGGTCAGGTCAAATGTCGAATTTTCACCTTTTACAGGCATTTCAAGAAATGCGTTGTAAAATCGAGTAAAATGCATTTCATTGAAAATCATCGATGGGAAAATGTTCGTCAAACACATATTTTGTTATTTGAGGTCACTGATACCAGGTCAGGTCACAGAGGTCAGGTCACTGAGGGTCACATTATGAAAATATCATGTGGTGCATGTTTTATGGTCCATTTTATATGCCAAATACGATTATGTGGGTCAGGCAGTCTTGAGGGTCAGTTTAGATTATGTTTCGGTGAAGGTCAGGTCAAGGTAAGGTCAAGGTCAGGTCAAGGTCAGGTCAAGGTCAGGTCAAGGTCAGATCAAGGTCAGGTCAAGGTCAGGTAAAAAAAGGTCAAATTTCAAAGTTGATATATTTGCATAAAATGGGTATGGATTCGATGCAGCTTGTCACGGGGAGTTTAATGGTGGTTTTTGTTTTGCGCTACGTGGTCTAGAATTGCTAAAAATTGAGTTTGAAAATATGACGTCATCAATTTTGAACAGTTTTTTTCGCTATAACTTGGCCAAAAAGGAGGTATCGATCTAAAATTTAGTATGTATATAGAAAGGCGTGGGACTATCACAAATATTCCGTTTTTTCAAAATTCGGATTTTTTTATTTTTCTTTTGCTTAAAAAATCATTTTTTTGAATTTTTGGGGGTTAAAATCCAAAAATTTTGAAAACCGAGGTAGCAGTTTTGTAGCGCTATCTTTTGTCTACATGACCATATAAAGAACTTTGAAATTGCTTGGTAACTGTAGCTTTTGTGAGCGTTTCACGATTTCATGTTTTTGCTCATTTTTGCTCGAACATGACCTCAGTTTGACCTCAATAACTCCTGACCTAAGTTGACCTAAGACTTGAAATTTGGTGTGAAGGTGCCAAATTGATGCCCGGAAAGGTACTGAAACTTTGGTGGCGCTGCGCGCCGCGGTTTTCTTGCTAAAGGAAAAACCACAGGGAGGGCCAGTTGCCCCCCCCCCCCCCAGCGGGGCGAGGGTTTTAACTCGCGCATGGCTGGGGTATTTTCCATAACGCGAGTGGCTGAGGATGGGGGGGGGGGGCTATACAGAACCCCCCCCCCCCATCTCCGAAACTACTGGGCCGATTGCCAAAGCTCAAACGGCGTCTATAGCCCTGGAAAAACAGTCGAACGAAACCTAACTTCATTAACCTCGAGGTCACGGATGACGTCACAGGCCAGGTCAAAGTAAAACTAATAATCAAAGTGAGATCAGCATTTAGCTTGTTCACAGTTCATGTTCTGGCCGCCGGCTCACAAGTCTGATCAGGCTCATTTTTGGTTTACGCACCACTCGATATATGCATTAGATACCCTGAGGGTACCCAGCTTGTACTTTAAATTTTTCAGGTCAACGCCAGGTCATCCTAGGTCACGAACATTTTATATCATGTATCGGTCACGTGACGCATGTTTTATGCTACATTTCACTCATCGATTTCAAAAACAGGCTGTCGGAGTTATTTGAAGTCATTTTCAGCTGCACTTAACTGAGGTCAAGTCACTTTCAGGTAGAAAAAGGTCAACTTTAGAAGATGAACTTTTAAAAGAAAAGGGTGTGTATCAGATGCAGGTTGACCTCACGAATAAGATGGTGCCATTTATATTACTGTACAATGTCAAAAACGTACTGAAAAATAAATTAAAAAATATCTTTGATTGTGAAATTTCAACTACAAAGCGTATAACTCAGCCATTTTTGAATATATTGTGCTGACATTTTCTAGAGTAGTTCAACGGTAGGTGTTCTATCACATATATCCTCGGTTTTTCGAAATGTCAAAAGAAATTTAAAAATCAAAAAAAAAATATTTGTAATTGTTTATGCATATTTTTCGATATTTTCAAAGTTTTGACAATTCGAGATGTCAATTTGATAGCCACGTATATTTTCAGTATGCTCATGCAAAGAAATTGGATCTAGCATAAAAAGTGAGGTTTTGAGAGCGATTACCGTAACTCAATGTTTTGCGTCAAAATCGGTCGACATGACGTCACTCTGACGCCATTTTCGGCCGACCTATAGCTATAGGAAGTTGTAATTTGAACAAAAGGTGTCAAGTTGATGCCGCTGAACGTACTGCAAGTTTTGTGTTGATACGTCAAGCGGTTTAGAATATATTGCAGAAAAACACAAGAGGGGGCTCTGAATAGGGCCCCCTCCCCACCCTCAGGCATAAACGGGTTAAATGGGTCGTTCACTCTGGCGTACATATGTATTGCTCGTTTCTTTCCTCCTGGATTGATTGAAAATCTCATGTTTTAAAAAAGCGAAGTCGTAGATGACTAAAAGGTCTGAGACCATCTTGACCCAAAAACCTTTGACAATATCTCCCACCATTTCTTAACCCCTTTCCCTTCCTGACTTTAGCTCTGCTGACCGAGTCCGTTTCGCAGAAATTCAGTGAGCTTTACGAGATGTGAGCTGTCAGTGAGCGTGAGCCCCTGAGCTGAGCGGGGGTGGAGGTGAGATCGGTAAGATCGGCTCATCGGACTCATCTCACAGCTCATCTGCCACCGTTTCCTCACGGACCGGGCCGACCCTGAGAGCGGCCGGCTGGGCCTTATAAGCGGCTGAGCACTGCTGTACGGTATCAGTTCTCTGCTGACCGACACACAGCCAACATGCAGATGGTGAGGATCCCGCTACTGCTGCTGTGCGGTGGAAGTTATGCGGTTGTGTTGTGCCTAATTGTCAAAGGAGCTGTGCGCTTTAGCTTTGACGTGGAGTGAGCCAACTGGATACGCTTGAGTGCATTAACAGAACTAAATTTTGTTTCCACTTTACCTGTAGTCGGACAAACCTAAGAAAAAACGGAGAGTGCCCGAATCACCGTGCACGTGTTTTGCTTACTGGAAATGTATATGATTCGGAGAAAATTTGTGTGAAATGCAGTGAGAAAAGTGTTCTCGAATATATTTCAGGTTATGTAAAGGAACGTGCATCAACGGCGGTGGTACTTTAAATCCGTTCTTTCTTTAAATCCGCAACAGCTTTATTTCAAACGTACTTACCCAGTAAAGCCCTGTATTTCAAAGCAGCGGTTGTATTGCATGTGCTTTTCTCCTCAGAAACCTGTCCATGCCTGAGCTGATAAATTTTCTCTCCATTTTCAGTTCGTTGCTCTCCTGCTGGTGGCGGCTGCCTCGGCGGCTCCGCAGTTCGAGCCTCAGTTCACCAGTCCCATCCAGCCCTTCCAGCCGGAAGTCCGCATTGTCAGCCAGAGGTTCGACCAGGATCAGGTTGGAAACTACGAGTACGGATACCAGCAGGACAACGGACAGCAGGTACGTTTTGTCCTCTTTATCTGTTTGTGAACTTCAAACATTACTCACAAACACACCGTACAAAATTCAAAGCCGATGTCATTTTCATCGTTTCAGTTGATGCGCACTCAACGCATGCATTTAGTGTGTGAATGACTTCAATAAGTTTTATTTGCAGTTCCATTACTCAACCAACTTTAACCCTCGCCGGCACAGGGGGGGGGGGGGTTGATGCAACCCCCCCTAAGGTTTTTCGCGAATAACTCGCGTAAAAAGCGGCCGATCGCGACGAAACTTTCAGTACCCTCGCATTGATCAATTTTACACCTACCCTGAAAATTTCATGACCCTGACCCCAGTGACCTTTGACCTGTGACCTCTTTTCTGTGACCATGTTTGGCAGAAATCGCGGTTCGGCGCATGTCGGCTCGCATTAGCCGCGCGTTTGCAAGCTTTTCGTGGTTTCAAACGTTCAAACATGTGATTTGATGTTGCTCCCATGCATTAGGGTGGGTGTCAAGGTCACCTGAAGGTCAGGTCAGGTCATTGACCTTTGGTGACCTCGGGTGACCTCGGTTCACTTTTTCGAGTTTTACATGTTTCTAGGCTAGTTTTTTGAGCTGAATTCGAATTTAGCAACAATTTGAACAGTTACGAAGTAGTTTTGGTGCCTTCGTAACATGTTACGAAGCTGTCCGAGGCGGTTGACACGTATTACGAATACCCGTCACAACCCCTACCGGTTGACCTGACCTGACCTGACCCGACCTGGTCTAAATGCTTAGAGACATCATCTCTGATCGAAACTAACACGATATTCGTGATCAGCACCCCGGAAAACCACATAGCAGTCACACTTTACGACTTTCTAACAGGTTCCGATTTTCCCGGTTTTCGGGTCATTGACCTGACCTGGAAGGTCACCCGATGACCTAGGACCTTAAAATTGGGTATCATCGGCTTCGTCTCGTGACGGACAACACGCTCGTTTTTTCCGCGAAGCTCTAGCTCGATCAGGGGCCAAACGCGAGGGGAGGTCGTATGTACCAACCCCCCCCCCCTTGTGCCGTCGAAGGACTCAAAATGGCCTGTGCCGGCGAGGGTTAACCCGCGCACCGACGGGGGGGCGGATATCCGCCCCCCCCCCCCTGAGGTTTTTCGCGGATAGCGGGAAAACCGCGGCGCGTAGCGCCGCGAAATTTGGTATGACTATTCTCTCATCAATTTTACACATGGTGTGCAAGTTTGAACCTCCTAACTTTTAAGGTCAGGTCACCAGGTCACTTTGAATGACCCAACCTCAAGTCACTTTTTTGCAACTTTGTCACCGTGCCAGAGCTACAGTAGATGTCGGAGGCCTTTGAAAGTCGCAGGATGTTATTAGGTCATTAGTAGCTACAATTTGTATATCTCGGAATTTTGATGTCGGTGACCTAAGGTCAGGTCAATTTCGCGACCTCCCCATTATAAGTCAATGGGGGAAAAATCAACTCCCTGTTTTTACCACTAAAACGGGTCGGAATGGCCCCATATACCATACATGACTTCACATACGATCAACCTTCACTACCTTGAGGTCTGTTTTGCTGTTGGGCAGCTGTAAGGTCATGTGACGTCATCAAAGGTCACCAAAGGTTTTTTGCCAATAACTCCTTACAGGAACAAGATACAGCCGCGCGGATGGTCTCATTGTGTTCAGCTCGTCAAGACGCATCGAATGATATACATGATGACCTCGAGGTCACGTGACCTGAGGTCAACCTTTGACCTTGACCTTTCGAGGTCAACATATATATCATTCGATGCGGATTGACGAGAGGATCACGATGATACCCTTAGTTTGTTCCTATCTTGACTACTTCGAAAGTTATTCGAGAAAAACCCTCTCCATATCTAGCGCCGCCATTTTGACTTTTTCGACCCCTGTGACGTCATCTTTGACCTGACCTGAAAATGACCTTAGTAAAAATTGTAGACCTTGTCCGTGCGTATCCGATGCCGTTTACCGCTTGTCGCTATCTTGCTTCGTTCTCGAGATCTCAGGGGGGGGGGGCGGTCATCCGCCCCCCCCCCCCGTCGGTACTAAGTTGGCGCAGACCCCCGTCGGTGCGCGGGTTAAAACACCGTGCAGCGCAAAATGCTTCGTTGCAAAACAGTTATAGGTATACAACTAAAAACTGGTTTTATGTGTTGAGTTAACAATAGTTTTGCAAAATGGCAAAATGGCAGATGATTGCTTATGAACATGTGATGTAAAACAAGTAATCCTCTACCAGGAGCATGTCACCAATGCATCTCAACTTTTGTTGCAGGCCCAGGAGGTCGGTCGCGTTGCCCCGGGATCACAGCCAGAGACCGGAACCCTGGAGCAGCAGGGCAGCTACGAGTACATCGGCGATGACGGCAACACCTATCGGGTAGACTACTTGGCCAATGAGGGTGGCTTCCAGCCGCAGGCCGCCCACCTGCCAGTGGCGCCGGCTCAGATTCCCGAGTACGCCCAGCTGAGGCAGGAGCACCCGGAGCTGTTCTGGGCTGAGAACGCTGTGAATCTCGGCCAGACGCAATTCATCTAATCAATTATCAGCTCACCTCCTAATCGTCCTTGGGCACCAGATATCATGTCTGTCCTCAAAAACTCTTAGAGATGGACCAAGACAGCAATGAGGTCAAGGTTCATTGATCTTTATTCAACTCCTTACATCTCCCCGTCATTTTTATTATACATACTGTTTCAATCCTCAGTCTCCTTCCCCCGACTGTTAGCTACTGGAATGATTGAGTTGCCAGTCGAATGTGGTTGCAATACAATGTTGTGGTGCCTTTCAAATTGTTTCGTTTGTCAGAAAGTGCATATTTTCGCAAGCCAGTATAGAAACTTGAAGCCACGCAATTTAGATAATGCTGCTGAGTTTTGTAGTTTACACTGTACTGCTTACAAAGTTCAGGTTAACCCTATTCCTGGCGGGGGGGGGGCCTCAGGAGCCCCCCCCCCCCCTGAGGTTTTTTGGTTATTTCTCCCAAACGCGTTGAGCTAGGAAGCTCAAATTTTCTGACTTTTCCTATAAGGCTTCTACGCAACATGTCTGAAAATTTTGAGTTGATCTGACCTCAGGTCAGGTCACCAGAGGCGGTTTGGTGACCCTACCTCAGAAAAGTTTGCAATCACGCCAGAGCTAGAGTTTTTGACCGATCAATTTCTTCTCTTCAGGCTTTAGTTAGGGTACCAGTATGTACAATTTGTATATCTCGGAATTTTGATATCGGTGACCTAAGGTCAGGTCAGTTTCGCGACCTCCCCATTATAAGTCAATGGGGGAAAAATCAACTCCCTGTTTTTACCACTAAAACGGGTCGGAATGGCCCCATATACCATACATGACTTCATATACGATCAACCTTCACTACCTTGAGGTCTGTTTTGCTGTTGGGCAGCTGTGAGGTCATGTGACGTCATCAAAGGTCACCAAAGGTTTTTGGCCAATAACTCCGTACAGGAACAAGATACAGACGCGTGGATGGTCTCATTGTGTTCAGCTCGTCAAGACGCATCGAATGATATACATGATGACCTCGAGGTCACGTGACCTGAGGTCAACCTTTGACCTTGACCTTTCGAGGTCAACATATATATCATTCGATGCGGATTGACGAGAGGATCACGATGATGCCCTTAGTTTGTTCCTATCTTGACTAATTCGAAAGTTATTCGAGAAAAACTCTCTCCATATCTAGCGCCGCCATTTTGACTTTTTCGACCCCTGTGACGTCATCTTTGACCTGACCTGAAAATGACCTTAGTAAAAATTGTAGACCTTGTCCATGCGTATCCGATGCCGTTTACCGCTTGTCGCTATCTTGCTTCGTTCTCGAGATCTCAGGGGGGGCCGAATCGGCCCCCCCCCCGCCAGTTTCTTGTCCCGGCGGAGCCCGCCAGGAATAGGGTTAACCCACGCCCCGTTGGGCTATTGGCGGACCCTACCGCCCGTTGGGGGGGGGGGGGGATTTCAGCCACCAGATCTAGGAAAGTTACCGATCGATTTTAAAAATTCAAATGGCGCTCGATAGCGCCACAAGGTAGCGCCAACTACTTTGTGGTTGTGACCATGTTTCGTTGACCTTGATCCAACCGATGACGTCCCTGGCCAAGTCCACATTTCCCCCCGATTATGGGCCTTCTAAGGAATGCGTTATAACATCGAATAAAAGGCATGTTATCGAAAATCATCGATGCAGCGTTGGTCGCCTAATACCAGGTGGGTGCGCTCCGGGCTTTTAACCCGCGCCCCGTAGGACTATCGGCGGACCCTACCACCCGTAAGGGGGAGAGGCCGTTTCAGCCCCCCCCCCCCCAAGATCTCAGAAATTTACCGGCCGATTTTCAAACTTCAAACGGTGTTCGATAACCCCATCGGGGAACTACCGTGTGACCAAATTTCATTGACCTAGGTCAAACCGATGACGTCACAGGTCAGGTCAAAGGTCGGATTTTCACCGTTCACAGGCATTTCAAGAAATGTGTTGTGAAATCGAGTAAATTGATAATTTATTGAAAACCATCGATGGTACATTGTTCGTCAAACACATACTTTGCTATCTGAGGTCACTGATACCAGGTCAGGTCACAGCGAGGTCAGGCCACCGGGAGTCACAATATGAAAGTGTCGTGTGATACATGTTTTATGGTCCATATTACATGACAAATGCGATTATGTGGGTTAGGCAGCCTTAGGGCCTAGGTCTTGCCTAGGTCACGTTTCGGTGAAGGTCAGGTCAAGGTTAGGTCAAATTAGGTCAAATTTCAAAGTTGATACTTTTGCATAAAATGGGTATCGATTTGATGCAGCTCGTCACGGGGAGTCTAATGGTGGTCTTTGGTTTGGTTTGCCCTACGATGTTTGGAATTGCCAAAAATTGAGTTTCAAAATTTGACGTCATCATTTTTGAACAGTTTTTTTTTTCGCTATAGCTTGGCCAAAAAAAACGAGACATCGATCTGAAAATTGGTATGTAGATAGAAGACGGTATCATCACATATATTCCGTTTTTTTTCGAAACTCAAAAAACTTTTGGATTTTTTGGCTAATACATCCCAAAAAGTGCTTTTTTTCTTTTTCGGAGTCAAAAATCTAAAATTTTAAAAATCCGAGATAGCAGTTTTGTAGTCCTGTACACCTTTTATGTCTTGATTATTTCTCTGTACCTATCTTTAACCCTCGCCCGCACATGGGGGGGGGGGTGGTTGCCACCCCCCAGGTAGTCTTTCTGCTCTGCACTCAACATTTTTAGAGCTAGAAGGCTGATTTTTCGTATAGCTGCTCCTCTATCCTTTCTTGATGTCCACTGAAAATTTAAAGTTTCTGTGGTTTTTGGTTTTGGAGATATGACCTTGTTTTTCAGGTCATGCCATGACCCAAATGGCCAATTCTCAACATCTTGCGTTATAGGCTATGGGCCTTGTGAGCTTTTGACACCTTGATTTCGGCCTTTTTTTGCCAGTCTTACCTCCCACCTATCATGGAACATGTTGTTCGACGATGTACAGATGTCAAGGTCAAGGTCAAGGTCAACCTAGGTCATCTAAGATAATTGCGTTTTAGGCAAGCGGAATTTACTTTTTGTGAAGTTTTTTGACTGCATTTTTTGTAAAAGCTTCTCAGATCATGATTTCATGTAATATGGACACAGAAACAATCGGTGCACACATCAGTATACACACAGACACACACAGACATACAAACACATATAATTGACCTTGACCTAACTTGACCTGAAATGACCTCAGCAGCAAAAACCTGGTCGGGTAGTGTGACAAAGAGGTTCTAGCTGGCTTGGCACAAGAAAACGGCATCGTCATCGGTATATGATAAGCAGCGCACTTGATATCCAATGTTGACCCAAAACAGCAACATTTTTTAGTTTGACCTGACCTGGAAGGTCAATGACTGACCTGAGAAGGTAAAACTGGGTATCATTGGATTTGTCTCTTCCCAAAGAATCTTTTTGGTGTTTACCGCTAAGCTCTATCTCCAAGAGAAACGAAATGACGCGGGGGGTGGCAACCCCCCCCCCCCATGTGCGTTCTAGGATGGGAAAATGGCATGTGCGGGCGAGGGTTAAAGCTGTAGGCCTGACAGGTCTTTTTTCGGTCGAAAATGACAGAACATGACGTCATTCTGACGTCATTTGTGGCCAACCTATCATAGCCTCTGGAATTTTTTTTTAGTCACAATGTGTAAAATTGATGCCCGGAGGGGTCCTGAAACTTTGGTGGCGATACCTCCAGCCGTTTAGGAGATATCGACGGAAAAGTACAGCTTGGGGCCGTTTCGCCCCCCCCCCTGCGGGGCGCGGGTTAAAGGTCATTTTCAAAATTTAGCATTAGGTAAATGTCATGACCTGATCGGAAGAGGTCATATTTCATATTAGTCAATCCGTATCATCGATCTAGGGTGTTTTTCGTCGCTCTAGCATAAAACTGGTAATGTCAATAAGCTGCTGGACGACCTTTGATGACCTGTAATGACCTCAGGGCACAAGGAGGGGTCACGGGCACGATTGTCCGATTTAGCGTGTCACGTTTACATGTAAAGCGATGTTGAAGAGTTTTTAGAACGATGCTCGTCCAAAAGACGCACGTTTCGATTTTCTCTGCAGTTGAGTTATAACCCGCGCTCCGCTGGGGGAGGGGCGGAATTGACCTCCGCCTGTTTTTCGACAATAGCTTCTAAGCGCTTTACGCCAGCAACATCAAGCTTTTAGTACCTACCCTTTCAGTTATCATACATCAATTTGACGTTCTCTGAAAATTTCGGCGAAACCCGTTTGAGTTTGAAAAAAAACGTTATAGTGACGTACCTTCTTTTACGTCATTTTTGCTTCAAGAACTGCAAAATTTCAAACGCCTCTAATATCTCAGCTTTTTTTAGTAAAAGACGTAATGAAAAACACGTATGTTGTTCTGCTTAGTGCTTTGTCTTTCAAATAGAAATTTCGTTTTTTTTTAATTTTGATTCTGTTCAATACTTCTTCAAAAAACTGATTAGTTTTTTTAAAGTCTTTACAAAATACACAATTTTGAGTTAACCTTCCAGGCAGTGGGGGGGGGCATTTTTTGCCCCCCCCCCCCTTTAGTTTTTTTTCGATATATCTCGAGAACCGCTGCGCCGATCGTCACCAAACTTTCAGTACCCTCCCAGGAGTAGCTAGCGCACATGGTGACCAAAAATGTTCCAAAGGCTATGATAGGTTGGCCGCTAATGACGTCAGAGTGACGTCATTTCTGCTATTTTCGACCCAAAAAAAGGTTTCGCTGGAAGAGCTGTCAGGCCAACAGCTTTAGAGATACAGAAAAATATTTCAGACAAAAAAGTTGTGAAATTAAGAGGGCTACAAAACTGCTATTTCGGTTTTCGAATTTTTGGGATTTTGACTCCCAAAAATAAAAAAAATATTATAGCTAAAAAATCCAACAAGTTTTTTGAATTTCGAAAAAAAACGGAATATATGTGATAGTCCCTATACCGCTTTCTATCTACATACCAAATTTGAGATCGATACCTCTTTTTTGGCCAAGTTATAGTGAAAAACTGTTCAAAATTGATGACGTCAAATTTTCAAACTCAATTTTTAGCAATTCTAGACCTTGTAGCGCAAAACAAAGACCACCATTGGCATTAGACTCCCCGTGACGAGCTGCATCGAATAAATACCCATTTTATACAAAAATATCAACTTTGAAATTTGACCTTTTTGACCTGACCTTGACCTGACCTCCACCAGAAAGTGACCTAAACCGTACCTGATGGTCTTATAACCAACACCA